GGGTGTCGCCGGACGCAATTGTCCATGTTGGGACAGGCGATTTTATGAAAAAAGCAACCATCCGCCCATTGGCCTCTAGTCTAGGTTGAGACCGGCTGTATAGCCACTAAGCGGTTTTGTGCCTAATTTAGTTATCTGGCCATTGGCCGCATGTTACTCAGACGTTGAATTTGCTACTAAGTTTCAAACTTAGTTTATTATCCGGCCATTGGCCTCACGTCACTTGGACGTTAGTTTAGCTACTAATTTTGGAGGGCATTGCCCTTGAAGAGAGAATTGGCACCCTTAAAATTGATGTAATAATTAGTATTTATAGAGCATTGAGATATGTGTCTCTTAGGTTATTTAACCTAAGTAGATTGGCTTCCAACTGTTTTACGATTTCTAGGGTTGTGGGCTTAAAGCCCATTTTCACCCTTCTATCATTAAGTGACACGTGTCATGCTCTAATTGGCTCATTGAGCGCTAAGCTTGCGGACACGTGTCGAGGTGGAATTGGTCCACATATAGGGGGTATTTTTACCCCCAAACACTATTAATGAAGCGTAAAGTGTTGAGTTGCTTCAAATTTAGTAACATGTCTTCACTCCCTCCAACCGAAGTGCAAGACCTCAAGAACCCGTCATGTTTGAAATGAGTTATCAACCTCGTCACCATTCCTCCACAATGAATTTCACCGGTTTTCACCCCACTAATAATCACCTGACAACATTCTATAAAAATGTATCCAAACATAACCTTAGGCCCAAAATACGACTTGGTGCCATCCAAAGAACCATAATCTCTTCCCTTGAAAGCTTACCAAGGTCTTTCTTGTTGAATACGTCATAATAGAGGACCCTATGAAGAATCCTAAGGGCCGGGTGAATAATTTCACTAGCAATTGAATTCTTGGAGTCAAAAGTTCTTTTATGAGAAATGGTTCTCCACCAAGAAACCTCATTGTAAGTAGCCAGTTTGAAAAGGAATGGCTCAAAAATATTTGCATGAGGGTTGAACCCAAGAGATTTATTGAATTTGAAGAGGGTTAAAGTGTGTTTGACATTGAACAATTGGAATGAGATGAGATAATCTTAATCCCCCAACCTATTATATTCAAATGTGGAGAAAAATTCGATGGTGGGTTCCAAATATGGTCTAGGAGAAGTTTGAACAAACTCAGTCAAACTGAGGTTGTGGAGAAGGATGTCAAGGTCGGAATCGATTCCTAACTTGACCATGTCATCACGATGATAATTTCGTGTTGGTCTAAACTTTCGGGATTTCATTTTATTATATATGAGAGCTTGTTTAATTTAGACCGGTTGTAAAATTTGAGAGGTGAAAGAGGTGGAGGTGGGTTATTTTCTTGAGGAGACGGATTGGGAGGAGGTTGGCTATGAGAAGATTGGCCTTGTGAAGATTGGTCGGGACATTAGTGAGAACGCTTCTTGCTACTCTTGCTTTTCCTTAACAAATCCATGATAACCAAATCAAATACACCAAATAGCTCAAAGGAATTCACACCAACTTCTTAACGCTAATACTACCACCAAAACTTCACACAACTTCACAACACCCCCCAATACTACAAAGTACCAAAGTTATAGAAACAAAGAACCAAAAGAACACCAAACACGGACTTAGAACCAATCAAGCTTGAAAGTGGTTCAAAAACTCAAATTTTCTTGAAAAACAACGAGAAAAACGATCCAAACTTGATGAAAATGGAGAAAAGTAAGAGATTAAGGTGAAAATTTGAGTGAAGCCAAGGAATTTGATGTGAAAATTATGGGTAGGGGGTTAGGGTTTGAGAGAAAGATGAGAGAAAAAGAAAGTAAAAGATAAGTGAAATAAAAAATCAGAGAGGAGAGAGAAAGATAGGTGAACTGTGCATAATTAAACCCCAACACGCCGCGCCTGCTCCCGACATCGCCGCGCCCGCGGGGAGTCCGCGGACAGCCCGCGGCAAGTTCCTGGAAGAATTTGTCCAAAATTACCTTAATGGGGGTCCGCGGGCTCTCCAGATTGATGCACCCGCTCCAACATTACCGTGCTCGCGGCAACAATATGATTGATTTTTCTATTTTTTGCCTTATTGATGAGTCGCGCCCTCTCTATATCACCCGCGGCCTCTCACTTTCACCCGTGCCCGCGGGTATCCCGTGGGGCAACCGCGGGGAGTTCCTGGTCGTAATTTGGACTATTTATCATTTTAAAGCTCAGAACCCCCGCGGCCTCTCCATGCCCGCGGGGTGTCCTCTCCCCTGCTTCACAAACGCATCTTGTACTCTTCTCATCAATCACCTTAAATTCATACTTTATGATGGAAAGCAACCTACAAAACAAATCAAAAACAAGAGAAATAGTAAAACGAAGACTAACAAACAAAAAGAAAAGAGAGAAAAGAAAAGAGAAAAGAGGTTGAGAATCCGGGTTGCCTCTCGTAAGCGCTTTTGTTTAACGTCGTTAGCTCGACGATTACCACCCATTCAAGGTGGTTGCCAGAGAAGCATTGTGTGAACAAGGCCAACAAAATCACCATCAAAATACTTCTTGAGGCGATGGCCATTGACTTTAAACGAAGAAGAAGAATCCATCATTGAAACCTCTACAACACCACTTGGAAAGACACTCTTGACCAAATAGGGACCGCTCCATCTTGACATAAGATTTCCAGGAAACAACTTCATTTTTGGATTGTACAGAAGAACTTTATCACCAACATAAAAATCTTTCTTCTCAATAAGTTTGTCAAGTGTTTCCTTGGAATGAGCTTTGTACACACTAGCACAATCATAAGCATCAAGCCGAAGCTCCTCTAGCTCATGAAGATCCAACCACCTTTTCTCCCCCCGCACTGGCCAAGTTAAATTTATCTTCTAGATTTCCCACAAAGCACGGTGTTCAATTTCAACCAGGAGATGGCATGACTTGCCATAGAGTATGGGTTGTTGAGGCATTTTGTTTCTCTTGGAGATGTTCCCAACTCTTTGACATTGGTCACATGTCTTTACAAAGCCCCATGAGTCACTAAAGAGATGTGGCCACCATAAACCATATTGAAGGACCTTAGTGGCGCTCTTAGAGACACCCATATGGCCCCCGCTTGGATCCGAATGGCACATTTTCAAAACACTAGGCACCTCTTGTTTGATACTCATCGTCTAAGTAAGCCATCGACCCCTCGCTTGTATATGATGGGATCATCCCAAACATAATGCCTTGCCTCTCTCTTGAGCTTCTTTCTTTGATTCTTAGAAAAGGAAGGAGGAAACTCCCCACATGCAAGAAAATTCACCAAATCGGCAATCCATGCGAGCTCCTTTGCTTCAATAGCATACAAAAAGTAATCAATCATCCTATCCTCAATTGGAGAACCATCATCATGAATTTGAGAATCATCTAGACGTGAAAGATGGTCCGCCACAACATTCTCCGCTCCTCTTTTATCCCTAATCTCAATGTCAAAGGTTTGAAGCTCAAGAACCCACCGGATCAACCTTGGCTTGGACACTTTCTTGGCAAAAAGATACTTGAGATATGCATGATCCGTGAAGACTATGGTCTTGGAACCCAATAGATAACAACGAAAATTCTCAAAAGCATGAACTATAGCCAAGAATTCCTTCTCCATTGTAGTGTAATTCCGTTGAGATCCATTGAGAGTCTTGGATATATAATAGATCACATGAAGCTTCTTGTCCACTCTTTGACCTAAGACACCTCCTATTGCCGAATCACTTGCATCACACATCAACTCAGATGGTAAATCCCATCTTGGAGCTTGAACTATAGGAGTAGATATTAGAGCTTTCTTCAACTTATTGAATGCCTACAAACACTTTTCCTCAAATACAAACTCAGATTCCTTTTGAAGAAGATCATGGAGGGGCTTTGTAATGAGGGAAAAGTCCTTTATAAATCTTCTATATAACCCGGAATGGCCCAAAAATGATCTCACACCCTCCACATTAACAGGAGGTGGCAACTTTTCAATAACCTCAATCTTTGCCTTGTCCACCTCTATGCCCTTGTGAGAAATTTTGTGCCCAAGGACTATTCCTTACTCAACCATGAAATGACATTTTTCCCAATTCAACACTAAGTTCACTTTTTCACACCTTGCTAAACACTTTTCAAGATTTTCAAGGCACGCCTCAAAAGAAAACTCCACCTACGGAAAAGTCATCCATAAACACCTTCATCTCCTCCTCCAACATGTCTTCAAAGATACTCGTCATACACCGTTGGAAAGTGGCAGGAGCATTGCAAAGGCCGAATGGCATTCTCCTATAGGCAAAGGTACCATAGGGACAAGTAAAAGTAGTTTTCTCTTGGTCATCGAGATGAATAGAAATTTGGAAAAATCCCGAGTAACCATCAAGGAAACAATAATACTTATGCCTCGTTAGTCTTTCAAGCATTTGATCAATAAAAGGAAGGGGAAAATGTTCTTTCTTTGTGGATGTGTTTAGACGTCTATAGTCTATACACATCTTCCATTCCGTGACCGTCCTCGTTAGAATGAGCTCACCTTTCTCATTCTCAACGACGGTCATACCTCCCTTCTTTGGGACAACATGAATGGGAGAAACCCACCTAGAATTAAAATTGGGGAATATGATTCCCGCATCAAGAAGTTTGGTGATCTCCTTCTTCACATCCTCTCCCATTTGGGGATGTAGCTTTCGAAGCCTCTCAATGGATGGTAGAGTACCCTCCTCAAGAGTTATGTGATGTTTACATAAAGCGGGGCTTATACCTTTGTGGTCATCAATGGTATATCCCAAAGCACCTTGATGCTTTCTCAAAACATCACACAACTTTTGAGCTTGGTGCTCAATCAAAGAAGAGCTAACAATCACGGGAAAAGTGGATTTGGGTCCCAAAAATTCATACCTAAGGTGTGATGGAAGAGGTTTGAGCTCAACCATTGGTACACCTTTACCTTCCTTTGAAGTGGCAGCTTGCAAAGCTTCTTGACTTGAAATATTCTTGCACATATGCTCATCCACTTCCTAGATGCTTCCATTTAGCAAATCCTCATACATTGCCATTTCCTTGATAGGAGAACCTATCTTATCCTTATTCAACAAGACATTCTCAAGAGGATCATTAGAAGTGAGCAAGTTCTCATGCATGGAAGACACTACAAGATCAAGAGAATCAATCAATATGCAATTTGTAAAGAAGAACATGGATACTTCATGCTTTCATTCAAGTCGAATTCAATGACCTCTTCTCCTACCTTGAGTGAAATTTTTGCACTCTTTACATCAATCATGGCACTCGAAATAGCAAGAAATGGTCTACCAAGAATAATGGGAATGGTAGCATCTTCATCCATTTCAAGAACCACAAAATCTATCGGAATCACAAACTTCCCTACTCTCAAAGGAACATCCTCTACCTTCCTCTTAGGAATCTTAATTGACCTATCGACCAATTGCAAGGTAATTTTGGAAGGCATAAGTTCCCCTAACTCAAGTCTTTGATAAATAGAATATGGCATTAGGCTAACACTAGCTCCTAAGTCACTTAAGACATTATCAATTTGCATCTTGTTAATGTCACAAGAGATAGAGAAGTTTTCGGGATCTTTCAACTTGGGTGGCATCTTCTTTAGTATAATTTCACTACAATTCTCGGTCAAGTTGACCGTCTCCACCACATCACAAGTCCTCCTACCACTCAAAATGTCTTTGAGGAATTTTGTGTAGTTGGGCATTTAGGTAACAACTTCGGTAAAAGGTAGAGAAAGGTGAAGTTGCTTAAGCATGTCAATAAATCTTCCAAATTGTTCATCCAACTTATGTATCATGAAATTTTGTGGATATGGAAGCTTGGGTTTTACAATTTCTTTCTCCACTCTCACCTCTCTAGGTGTCTCAATCACAACCTCACTCAAAGATGCACCATCTCTCTCATCCTCTACCAAGACCTCCTTACCTTCACTCTTCCTAGGCAAACTCTCCTCAAGAACCTTACCACTCCTTGTAACAATAGCATTCACGGGTCTCTTGGGATCTAAGCCTTGGGAAGGTAAAAAAAGGACTATCATGGTCTTTCAAATCATTGACAAGTTGAAAATTTTGGTTTTCAAGAATTTTATTATGAGTCATCATCTCAATAAATTTATTGTCACTTACGGCCATGTAAGTGTTCAACAACTTGATTTGATTTTCAATGATTTTCTATAAATTAATTCTAGAGGAAAAGGGTTGTGAATAGGAATTATCACCTTGATTCTTTGGAGCAAATCCGAGTGGAGGGCCTCTTTGAGCATTATTTTGAAAATTGTCTCATCCTTGATTGTTCCAATCACCCCTATTTTGATTTTGACCATAACCTTGATTATGGTTACCACCACCTTGATTATGATTTCCATAACCTTGGTTATGATTGCATAATTTTGGTTTTTATTTTGGCTACTATAACCTTGATTGTTATAGTTACCTCGAGAACCTTGGTTCCTATAACCACCAACTTGATTATAGTTGTCAAAATTACCTTGGTTTTGGTAATTCCTATTCCAGTGACCCCTTTGTTTATCAAACCCTTGCACATTATAATTGTTTGACACATAGTTCACATGTTCACTCTCATTATTATCAAAATCATCATTACCATCCAGAAAAGCATGAGGGCAATTACTAGCATCATGATCATATGAACCACACACATCACAAAACAAACAACCACTAGGCATGTTAGTAGAAGAAAGAGGGGGATGAGAGTTAGAAGGAGTACCTCTCCCCTTAAATTGGGAGGGAAGACTTGGAGCTTGGGAAGAAGAACTCTCCATTTTTTCCTTGATTGCAATCACTTCCTTCCCCAAGTTTGTCATTTGTGAGGAGAGATGGTTGATTTCATTTAGATGATCAACTGAGTACACTAAAGAGCTACTCTTGCTAGTTGAATCTCTCTCACCATCTTGCCAATCTCTATAGTACCTCACAACATCCTCAATAAAGTCTACCACTTCTTCTTTTGTCCTACTCATGATGGGACCTCCGGCTCCCCCATCAAGGCATGACTTGCCTTGGGGACTTAGGCCTCCATAGAGAATTTGAATAATTTGATAATTCCGTGGTGAGGAAACTCCCTTTCATACTCCTTATATCTCTCCCACACTTCATAGAGGCTCTCACTTGGCTATTGTTTAAAACCTTGAATCAAAGCTCTTGCCTTCGCCATTTTCTTTTGTGGATAGAAATGGGTTAGAAATTCTTTTGTAACCTCGTCCCATGTCGTTAGAGAATTCGGCTTAACCTCCTTGTCTAGCAATTCCAAAGCACGCCCAATGAGAGAAAAGGGAAAGAGCTTGAGGCTGATGAATTCTTGGGAAACTCCGTTCACTTTGATAGTAATATTGCAATATTTTTCAAACTCCTTGAAATGTTTTAGCGGGCTCTCATGCTTGGCTCCACTAAATTGTTGCCTCTCTATCAAAGTGATCATAGACGGCCTAATTTCAAAATCATTTGCCGCTGTTGTAGGTGGAGCAATTCCACTCTCAAATCTATATGCACCGGGAATCCCCAATTCTTTCAAAGCAACTCTCAGATTCTCTCCCATTCTTCCTTGTTCCTTTAGTAGCAGTTCTTCCTCACTTGAAATGCTAGAACTCAAAGATTGCCTAGCAACCCTTAATCTTGTAATAGTCCTCTCAATCTCCGGATCAAATGGCACTAGTGAATGACCACGTGCTCTATGCATACAACTTCAAAAGAAATGATTAGTAGCACGGCTACAAGTTTAGCCTAAAAGAGAAAAATCTTTTTGTTTTTTTTAGAATGAAATAGAATCAACAACTCTAACAAAGCACCAATGTCATTCCCCGGCAATGGCGCCATTTTGATAAGAGGAAAAACTAGGTCGTTATCTAATTCTCCCTTGGTCAAACTAAATTTATAAACATTTGACAAACCTTTTACAAGTATGCGGTAAGTCAAGGGTCGAACCCAAAGAAATGAGTAGGAACTATGTTATAGTCTATTGTCAAGCTAAATCGAAGAATATCAATGGTTGAGGTTGGTAACTAGAATATCAAGAAGAACGACAAATCAAAGAATTCAATCAATATACTAAACACTAGGGATGTAGGTTTCACATGCAAGCTCAATGATTATGCTAATGATAGAAAACTCAATTGATTCAAGCATTACAAGGGACAAATAATAGTTGCAATCAAAGGAATCCAAAGGCTATCTCCTATAAGCCAAGCTAGGGTTCACTATGAATGGCTAACAAGAAGAATCACAATCAAATTCAATTAATTAAAGAAATTCTCAAATCAAGGGTTCATGTCATTGAAATTTTCTATGCAATCTAGCTAAATCTTATAGGTTGATCACTCCTAGTCTAATTAATCACATGCACAACTATGTCAACAAATTAAATTGCAATAATTCAATCAATCAATGATCATAAACTAGCAAAAATCATTAATCAATCATGCTTCCCCTTCTCCCTAGCAACTAATCTACTCACTAATCATGGTGAAATTGAAACACTGAACAAATTCAATCACAAACATATTCATTTTAAGCTAAATCAAAAGGAAAATCAATTAATCAACAAATTCTCAAACCTAAATCAAAATCCAAACCAAACATTCAAACATTAAAGAAAATTGCAATTGAAGTAAATTCAAAGGAAAGAAATCTCACAAACTTTCATTGATATGAAGAAGAAATCCAAATTAGATTGAAGCAATGTTGTAATACAAATCAAATCCAAGAATCCCAATCTCTACTTTCTCTCTAACTTCTCTCTAAATTTTCTCTCTAAAAACTAAGCAAATGAAATATTATCTAAAAGTTAGCCTTCAAAAGGATTTACAAGAGTATTTATAGACAAATAAGAAAAAATGATCGGTCGCGCTCTCTCCATAAATATCCCGCGGGCGCGGAGAAATGGGTTCGGAACCCATAACTAACTCCGCGGGCAATCTAGGCAAGAGCTGCGCTCGCGGGTAATGTAGCCCGCTCCCGCGGCGATGATACCCGCGCCCGCGCCTTAGGGCGCTATAGATGCCCTGTTTCTAGGAGTAAATAGGGGGGTCGCGGTCTCTCTAATTGGAGCGGTCTCTCTAGATTCTCCGCGCCCGCGGCTAGACCGCGACCAGGGCGCGAAGAATTCCTGCAAAAAATTATCACTTTGTTGCACTTTATTCGCTCCCGCGGCTCTTAGGACCCGCGCCCGCGGCAATGGGCACATGTAGAGCGCCCTCTCCGCGGAGCTTGATTCTTCTATGCTTAGCTTTTTTTGCTCTTCGTGATTCCTTTGCAAAACCAAATCCTTAAGCACCTACAAAAGTAACCAAAGAGAGAAAATAGAAGAGAAAAAGAGCAATATAAAAGGGAAACACGAAGAAAACCACATAAAAGAAAGTAAAATACGAAGAAAGAAGAAATAGAGAAACTAAAGGAGAAAAGACCAAAATGACAAAAAAAAAAAAAAAAAAAAAAAAAAAAAAACCATGAAAAATAGGGTGAAAACATCCTAAAAGACTACGCTATGAGTGCCATAAATGACACTCATTGTTGTATATTTGGAGTAGCACTCGAAATACACAAGGGTTAAACCAAAGGATAGTTAAGGCTAAAGAACCAAAGGCTTCTTAGATAAAGTCACACCACTAAGAAACGGTTTGGATTCCTAAGATCACAAGCCAACTAGTAGCCTAAACTAGCTAACTAAGCAAAGGAAACGAAATTCCAAATCCAAGAATTTCAGGTTTTTGTTTCTAATCCAAGAAACGAATGTAAGACAAGTTTGTTTGTTAGAATAATCTGATTTTTTCATTCATATTTGCTTGCTATTTATAGTAAACAAGCATCCTTAAGTACAAGCTAACTTAAGTGGCTTTTCAGCTCACATGTTACACGCCTAAGCTAAGTACAAATCAGCTTTTTGTTCTCTAGATACATTAATAAAAGAAGCCTTATTTAATTAGATACATCAAAGAGTAAATGGTGGTTTGTAACCTCCAAATTATGGCTGAAAATTCAAACAGCAAAGAAGAGTAACTCCTCCTTGTTTCAAGCCTTGAAATAAGCTTGAATGTATGTGGACAAGGATGTACTTGGACGCCCTTTGAGTGCTCAATTGCTGACTGAAATAAACGGCCACTTGAAGGCTGAATTGAAGGCTTGTAACTCCTCATTGAAGCTGATTGTAACACCCAAGTCAAAGCCTTGAAATTCCCTTGAAGAATTTCAGATTCTATGCTTCATTCACAAGCTTAAGTGGCTGCCTTCTTGATGTATCTTGTACTTGTACTTTATGTGAATGTGACATTACATTTTCGAACTTTAATCAGCTAAAAAGAACTAAAGAAAATATAATTGATTTGCAAACTTAAAATAAGACTAAAGTTTACAATTTATTCAAAGCATAAAATGAACTAGAATAAATAGTTAATAAGAACAACAAGAAATTCAAGGGATTGAATATATTACTGCACATGGATAGAACGCATAGCACCAATGCATGATGCTACATCTTGAACCAAAGAAATGTCCATAACCAAGTTGTTAGGCTTGGCTATAATATTCCCCCCTTCTTGAAAAGAGTTTTCCCCTCAAACTCGGCAACTCTTCACACTCATCATAGTAAGGTGATAAATCAGCCACGTTAAAAGTGCTAGAAACATCATAATCTCCGGGCAATTCAACTTTGTAAGCATTATCATTCACCTTTTCAACAATAGCAAATGGACCA